TCACAATAAGAAGCTGGTAGGACAGAATCTTGTGTACTCAATCAGAATCCTTGACAGGCAAGATAAAGCTTAGGTCAAACCCCATAATACATGAAATCCATAAATTATGAACCCATGAAATGAAGTCTTTCCTTCTCCTCTAAAGATTTACATATTTGGATAGCTTCTTTCATCAACCCTCTGTACTATCTGGGACCGCTCGAGAAGAGCTGAGACTTCTGATTGAGGCATGAACCCTGGATATGCTCCAGACTCCAGAGCTTTACTCAAATCTCCAGCTTTTGTTGACCCAAGGCTATTGTCGGTCGCCTCACTTCGCCAGCTTTCTGAAACCCGCTACATACTTATTTAGAATGCTCAGACAACTTTGTTTTTTCTCCAGCTTGTGAATATTTTCAAATTTGTTTATCAACCTATGGTCATATGTATGTACAGCGTAGCATGGATAGACTGTGATGCTGGACCTCTATGAAGGGTAACAGATAGTGCGCATTTCCTCAAGTTCAGGATGGTAGTTTCCCGATAGATAGCCGGTTTCTGACTTGCAAAGGGCTTGCTGGGATAATTATTGGCAGAAACTACATACACCACAGGGCAATTGGGCTCGCTGTTTGACGGTGTGGTGAGCAAGATCTCTACTTAAGCAAAAAATTTAAAAATTATGTGAAAATTCGAGTTTTTGGTCAAAGGCAATATTATTATTGAAGTTAGTAGTCATCAAGGTTATCAAAGTTGATTCATTATCTTCATTTCATCATCTTTCAAATCATATATTTACATAAGCAATTGATAAGAACATTTAAGAGTAAAGAAGAATTCAAAAAGATCAATAAAAATAGTAAAAGAGTGAAAATCATATTAAGAGAATTAGTAAGAAGGGATTTGAGGAAGAAGAACATTTAGTTTGGATCTTTAAGAATGGAAACTGTTATGAAAAGAACGAAAGAGGAAGAAGAATATAAAGCAAGTTGGAGAAAAATTCAAAATATGGGTATGAAAGCTTGGAAAGTGGTTTTTAGTTTATTAATAGAAGAGATATTGGTTCAGGAAGGTTTTATTGTGAAAGAGAAGGATCACATTAGTCATCGACAACTTTAATCATGAGGATTGATAAGGGAGGTGTGAAGTTATTCAAGAAAAGGGAAATTTCGAAGAAGGGTACTATGGTATTAATTCCTGTGTAGTGATGTCATTGATGGATTGATTGCGCCAAGAGTTTTTCAGAAGGATTTTAATGCTGTGTGATTGATTGGAGTGCTGTGGAATGATCTTTTGGTAGAAGGAAAATCATTATTAGACGTGAAAATAGTCAAAATTCATCAAAATTGGAGGTTTTCAGTTAATTACACATGGTAAAACTTGTCAGAATTAGGTGTGTGATAGTTCATTCGACGCAGAATCATTGGTTTCATAATGTACAACATTTAAATCATTAGTAGCGGAGGAGTAGTGAAAAAGTTATAAGGCAACAAAGAAACTGGAGTGAATTTCGAATTTGGAGGTTACATGTGACATTTACATGACAAAACTTTATTTTTGCAATCTTTACAGCTCAATAACTTATTCATCACACATCAGAAATAGATGATATGGGGGTGATAAATGATCAGAATCACGAGGGCTATCAAATGAGCTATAGTAATCCAAAATTGAACAACTTTACAAAAAATTCGTAATTCCAAAAATGGATTTCAGCTATGAATATTAGGAAAAAATCACCTGTATTCATCATAAGAAGATCTATTCATCATTTATTCACATCAATTGATCAAATTCACGCCTTAAATCATTACAAACAATAATAATAATGACATCATATGATTACATTGGAGGAAATTCTGTTGATTTTGACGGTTTTTGAGGTTTTTTGGAGGTTGTTGATCATTGTTGAAGGGTGTTGGAAGGTTATATACTATTGTTAAGGATTTTACGGGCCTTTGTTCCCCTTTTTACTCATCTTATACTTTTGTTAGAGTGTTTTTAATCATTATTAAATTACGTTAGCAGTACTAAGTTCACTAAATTGCCCCTTTACATCAAAGGAGAGATTTCTTTACGTGTGATAAGACTACAAGTCTTCATTGGAATAACAATCAAACTGATTGTTGCTTTTGCTAGTAATTAAAGTTGTGTTTTTGTTGTGCTCAGATTGGAATAACACTACAATAGTGTTGAGATTTCTTTATTTCTAGAAATCACGGGAATAATACTTGAATTAAGTATTGAGACAAATTTCTCTGGTGCCTTATCCCAAAGAATTCAGCAAAACCCTGTGTTGATTCTTTCAAAGAGGCAGTCTTAGACAACTTCTACTAGTTAGTTATATTAGTAGATTATCCCTCTTTTAGCTCTGTAAAGCTCTTGTTGAGCTTTAAGTTCTACAACGGTCAGAGAAGACCGCCAAAAGCCCAGATTTGCTTGGTGGTGGCCGGCTGCCGAAAGCTGGTCAGTGGAAAGGTGGTCTTTCAGCTGACCTTTGCTGGCGGCCGGCATCTGGGCAAACGGCAATTGTTGACCTATCAAGCGGCCGGCTTTGAGCTCGTCCAGATCACTCAAGCCAGCTCTTGATAGGTCGATCGACCAGCAGATGGCTGGCCGATTCAAGGTCTCTAGCCGGTCTTTGTGGATCACCGGTCAGGGTCTGATAGCCCATATTTGCTCCCTGGTAGCTCGCCTTTGGATTTGATTTAATCGATTAAAATTGTGATTTCAATAAAATTGTAATATTACATATTGTAATGCTCATAGAATACAAAAAGATAAGAAAATGTTTTTTTAAAAAGTACATATTTAGATTGATAATCAGTCAGTTTTAAGTTTTTAAATCTTCGGCGGTGCTTTTGCCATCGAAGAGTTGCTTATCTTCATAAATGATCAGTTTGTGGAACCTGCTAGATCAATGGACAATCAGTGTGATTGAAAGTGTTAAGAATTTGACATAAGGATGCTCACGCTTTGGTATAATGAGGTCCTTTCAATCACAATCGGCCAAGTTGAGTATTGGTAATCTTCAAGATCAAAGAACTACCTACTCCTGAGGTAGAAAGCTCAAGAAAAGCTGCTTCCATTTGCTGAAGATGAAGCCGAGGCAATGATGAGGAAGTATACGGAGTGGAAGCTGGCAATGTTGATTGATGATGGTGGTCAAAAGGAATCTGGAATCGGTCTTTACCATGAAGGTTATCACAGACTTTACCTTAGATGGTCATTAACTTGTGACATCTTACAGTGACAAGTGATTCAAATAAGGGAGCCCTGTCTACTCCATACCTATCTTTTGGCTGTCTGTTTGACCGTCTCAAGGCCAGCTTTTTGAATGTTTGAAAAGCTGGCCGGATGCTTGGTTTTTGGCCATCTTTTGACAGCCATGAGGCTGTTTGATTTACGGTCAGATTGACCAGCCAACCGACCAGCATCTTTCAAGCCAAAAGCTCAGGTTTTGGCCAGAAAACAGCCGGTCTCACCCGACCAAGAACGAGGGGCAATCGGGACAACCCTGACAGTCAGGCCTTTCAGTGACCTGTCCCTTTCCCGTGAAATCTAGCACAATCCTTTCACTCTGTGTTTCCACCACGTCACATCCCCAATGAAAGTCATTCTCCACGCCTCTTAATCAATCACTACCTCTGTTTCACCACCTCACCCCAAGTCAACTGTGACCGCGATGCCTCCCAAAGAACCACGTTCAAATTTCACTTTCAGCGCATGGACAAATATAGATCTAATTATGAGTACACACAAGGATTGGTAAAGTCAAAATTGAGGTAAGAATGGATTGTAAGATGATAAAAAGTTATCCACTTGTCTTGTTTTGCACACAATTCTTTGACTCAATCATGTACCAGTGTGTGTATGCCCTCTTTTAGATCTTGTTGTAATCTTAAATCGAATTTCTTCGGATCATGATGAAGATTTTCAAATTAAAGACAGAAACATGATTTGATTGATTGAAAGGTTTTCTCATGTGTATTTTGTTATTCCGTTGTGTCTTTTTCAACTTGAATCAATAAAACAGGTAGGATCAAGATAAAAACAAACAGAAAGACAAGATAAAGAGAAAAGTTACAAGCATATATGTACAAATGATCTGTCAGAGATTGAAATCAAACAATTGTGATTCAACACATACGAGTTCTTGAAAAGATTGGAGCAAAAAAGGAAAACCAACAAGAGTTCTGAGGAATGTGATGTTCAGATGAACCCATTTCATCTTCAATAAGAGTAAAAATGTATAAAACTTCCAGCTACTAGAGCAAGCATAAAAGTATGTCTTCTTCTACTTGATTGAATCATTCCTACTGATGAATTTACACCTGGAATCAAAGCTATTCGAAGAAATAAAAGAGAAAATGAATGTTAGTTATAAAGAAGACCTTGAATCCAAATCAGTAATAGTCCAGCATTGATAAAATAAACCAAACCTACAAATGACTCTATTCATTTGATTATTACTACCAATTGGATTTCTTTGAATCAAAAATTCTTAACAAGTAGCATAAGCATGATCTAAGATATCATCAGCTAACTGATGCATTGAATGAATCCTATCTTGATTCCCTAAACGATCATCATCATCTGATTTCCTTTGTTGTGATTTAAATGAAGAGATCTCAGATTTAACAGACAAAAGTAATGAAGGTGTTTGTTGAAAGAAATCACATTAATCTATGATCTAATGCTGTGAAGATCCGTGATAGTTCAATCAAGATTAACCAATCAAATCACGTTACCAGATTATGTTCGTGACCATCTTGATTCTTACCCCAACCAGTCATCAAAGAACCATTTGACCTTTACCTATCTGCTTTCCCTCATCATTGAAAACAAGACGGTTAGGTACTCTATTCCCTTTTCGATTTTCGTTCTTTTGCCTAATCAATCTGACCTCTACGTTTTGCTTCTAGTTTAAGTTCATATCATCAAAACTCTGATCCAATTTGATTTGGGTATCCGTTTGACAAGCAGTTTATCAGTCAGACCCGCCCCCAAGACTTCTAAAAATGCCATCTGTATATGATCATGCCAATCTATCATCTATGCCGATCGAGGTTATCAAAATGATTCTCTACTGGCTTCATCGTCTTTCTTTAACTCAGCAAGATGATGAAAACGAAGAGTTTGAAAGCCCTTGGGAAGAAAATCAGTTTCCACGTCTTCGAAAATTTTTAAAACCAATCGAAGGTCAGTATCTTTGCCCTTAGGCTTCATGCACAAACCATTTTTCATCGGTGTGTCAGTCATTGACATGCGTGATTTTGCACCGGTGTGCTTCTGTGTCAAACACCACATTGATATGTGATCATCTACCGTGCTGACGCCACTATACATTCCTGCACTCACAAAGGCTTTCCCTTGAAGTTGAATGATATGCGATCACTTGCTTCAGTTGATCGTTCATTCTATCATAAGTTCTCTGCGCTTGTTTTTGAGGTGAATTGTTTCTTCTATCATCATGCTATTTTTGCGATTTAGTAATCGATGAAAGAATTTTGATCTGTGTTTCAGTCTTTCGATATTGAAAGTTTTCCACCGGATGAGTCGAAGCTCACGTTGGACGAAATCATCAAAAGCCATTCGGTTCATATCAAAGAAATCCGAGGCAGAGTCTCATTTCCTGATCAGCCATATGGGGATCCTCGCTTGCGATCTGAACTCTTACTTAAAATCCTGAAATCTTGTCCTCGTATTACCGATATCGACATTGATCTTGATCCAAAACCTTTGATATCTACTGCAAATCCAGAAACCTTGGATTCAACAAATAATCAATTTCCAGACCTATTTATTAAGCCCATTTCTCAACTTACTTCGCTTACTCACCTTTCACTATCAACTCCTCATTTTCGACAAACACCTTACACGGAAACCTTCTTAGTCGAGCTTCTCTCCAACATTTCTGGACTGCAAGGGTTTTCCTGTTCAAGGATTGAGGCAGTTCATCCGATGCCTTCGACTGACCGACAAGCTTGTCAATCTCAACTTGGAATTCATCTTGCTTCACTTACTCACCTTGTTGAATTAGAGTTGGAGAAAGCCGAATGTTTGGATGTCAGTTGGAATCAACTCAAGTGGAAAAGTTCATTGAAGGCCTTATCATTGACGAATTGTGGAAGAGTCTCAGTAAAGGTCTTGGGTGGTTTTGCAGAACTTTTCAAGTCGACCTTAACAACACTTACATTTGCTAGGACTGGTTTATATGAACCTGACAATTTGACTTCAGATCCACTTCCAACCAAGAAATTTCGATTTAAATTACCTGAACTGATCAATTTAGAAATCATAAGTAGTGCGAGTGTTCGATTCGCAAAAGGTTTTGAACATTCAAAAAAGCTTTCATGGCTCTCATTGGGTAACTATCCGCTTCACCGACATCAAAATTTAGAAGATTTAATCAATGAACAACTTTGGCCTGATCTGAAAAAGTTGGAGCTCACAAGTTCTAAGACTTACAGTATCAGAGCCATTGAGGGATTGGAAGACTCATGTGAGAGAGATGGGATTCGGTTGATTCTCAATGTGGATTTGGTTGATGACGATAGTTTTGAGGAGGATGACATGTATTAACTATAGGGATATCTGCATGCAGTTTATGGTGAGGATTGGAGTTTGAATGGTGGCTGGGCCTGGAATTATGAGCTATGTAGGAGGGCATTCTTGTTATCTATATTGATTTATCCCAGGTCAAAAAGTCTTATTTTGTTGATGAGCTGAGGTATCTACTTATGATGATCCAAACATTGCCATGCACTCAAGGCTGTGGACATTGCCATATTATGTTCTCAGGTGCCTTGCAAGCCATTTTGTTAGTTGATCCACAAGACTTATGGCAGAGTTGAGGCTGTCAAACTCAATGATCCTTGCCAATTTCCATCCATCCACCCATTTATCCATCCATTGGCAATTCAATGATTGAATGGTGTACTGCAGAGCTTGGACCTCTACTCTAGCCCTATCAATAATACAAGAGAGGATTAGTCATGTGCCATCAGATTAGCAAATGTGCTAAGAAGATAGACTGAGACAATCACTGGCAGTGAATCAGAATCTTGAAAGGCACAATATGATTCATGCAGGGAATGAGATACACAGTGGACCTTGATGATTGAGGATTTTACCAGTGCCCATACTAGGTTATAAGCACATTTCTGATAGCAGGATTTGTAGAGGGAAAGAAGAGTTTGGTTTAGTCTCTTTGGTACCCTGGTAAGTCGACAATCACATGGCTCTTAAGCCCATGAAAGCCCATGAACTGTGGGGCTTGGACCTTTGGCAAGGGACTTTGTTAAGTTTGATGAACTGCAGAATCAGTGAATGACTGGTGGAATGTACATTGCCAAACTGTTGAGATTCAATCAACATAAACATACAAGTTCTTGATCAATATGCTTGTAGCTGATTTACCCCAACCATTTCACATATATATATATTTGTACATCCTCATCCTGTCTTCTTTTCCTCATCTTTGAAAAGAAGACTGTGAGTTGACTGATTCATTTGACTTCATTCTATATCTTCACTGAACTTATCTAACCTTTGTTCTTCAATTATAGTTTACCTTGAGTGTCCTTCATTAGATCCAGATCTGAACCCATTGTACTTTCCCAACTTTAGGTACATATTCATTTTTATCTTATCTTTGAAGAGAAGACTTTTACCTCGAGTGTCCTTCAATAGATCCAGATCTGAACCCATTGTACTTTCCCAACTTTAGGTACATATTCATTTTTATCTTATCTTTGACGAGAAGACTTTTACCTTGAGTGTCCTAGATCCAGATCTGAACCCATTGTACTTTCCCAACTTTAGACCATATTCCAAGACTTTCACACAAACCCTGTCAAACCCCATGATAGCCTTTGCTTGTAAGACTGTAAGCCCATGGAATTGAATCTTACCTTCTCTGTGCAGTGAGGACCCCAGAGCCTATTGAGGCACACAATGTAAAAATCTGTGCTACATAGAATTCAGTAGGTATAAACCCATACCTTTGCTGGTCCAATGTATCACTGTAGAATTTAAACCTCAACAAGAGCTTTACAGAGCTTGAAGAGGGATAATCTACTAGTATAACTAACTGATAGGAGTTGCCTAAGACTGCCTCTTTGAAAGAACCAACATGGGGATCTGTTGACTTCTTTAGGATAAGGCACCAGAGAAATTGTTTATCAATACTGAGAAGTAACTGAGTAGAAGCCTGAGGCGAGTTGGAGTTGCTGTTGAAATGGGAATAATCAGGTTACTCGTGAGCAAATGGCACAAGCCTAAATTATGGGATTCTCAGAATCCCTAATCAATAAACAAACCAATCAAAAGTCTCAGTCAGGATATCTGTAAAGCAACACTGAAGATAGATGGGATGAGATGTTGATAAGGTTTGAAAACTAGAAAGCTTGAATGAAGAGGAAAAGCTTTTGGAGTGAACAACAAGATTATAAATCACAGCAGTGTAAGACATTAGGTTTAATCACGTGATTAAATAATGGAGTATATTCATGTTGTAATGTTAGTATGATTAATACAGTTCAGAAACAACATTAAACAGCATTGTAAATAAAGACATAAGTGAAATTATACTCCAACATAAATCACGCTTCACTAGGTAGTAAACAGAACACAAACCTGCGCATGATGCAACAGGGATCACAGGTAAACAGATGATTTAAATAAGTAAAAAGGTAAATAGAATATTCTTTCCAATCATCATTACTGCATGGAACATCTCATACCTGGGGTAATCAGGTTATTTGTGAGCAAACGGCACAAGCCTAAATCATGCTTCACAAGCTAGTAAACAGAACACAAACCTGCAAGCCAGAAAGGCAGCAGTGAAAACACATGTGAGTTAGTAAAGAAATAGAAACTGAGAGAAACAGACTGAAGACAAAACAAACCTGTGCGTGATTCAACAGGGATCACAGGTAAGAGATGATTCAAATAAGTAAAAAGGTAAATAGACTAAAGATGAATAGTTATTGAGAAACAGCTACAGTTGTCTCTGACATAACCCATCTGTGCTGTAAGCCATACTCCATCAAAACCCATACAAATCTGGCCATCTGCAGAAAAATTGCAGGGAAAGTGGGTACATAACCCATAACTTTGTAGTACCCCATAACCCATAAGGTTTTTGAGGGAAACCAGAGTTCATAACCCATAAAAGTCAGGGGTCATTTGAAAAAAAAATGACTGAGGGAGGCTTGAAAAACTCTAAACATAAAGATTTACAGACAAACTCTTTTGACACTAACACTATTCAACCTTATTGAACTTTCACACACCACACATCACAAACTCAATTATATTATACTTCCTCCGAACTTGTCCAAATACATTGTGGCCAAAATTGAGGTAGGTTTAAAGACATTTGAAAATCTGCAACAAGAAGCAAATGAAAAAGAATCTATAGTAGGAAATATACCTCTACCACCACGACAAAGCCTCAGACATCATGCTATCTTACTTGGAAAGTGACAATGCACAAGAAGTGCAGGGGTATGAAAGGGCCATCTGAGCCTCTGTTAGACACTGCCAATTGCTATGTGTTAAAGCTGCAAAGCAGTGCAGCAGACTTGTTCTGATATATTTTTCAAGGTTTCCCAAGAAGTCATTTTTTTGTTTTGTACAATCTTTGTCATAACCCATATTTTGTCTGCAAATATATAATTATGGCTTTTGAAAGAGATTGTGGTAACCTATACTCTAGCAAAACCCATACTTTTGGGCAACATTTTTTGGGTATGGGTTATGTCAGAGATGACTGTAGTTAGAACAATGACTATCATAAGTGTAAGTAAAAATGACTTACAGATTCTTTCCAATGAGGAAAGAATCTGAATGAAAAACTAGTGCTCATTAAGTATAACAAAGACACAATAACAGCAACACATGAACAGTGTGTTGAGAATCCAAGAGTAGATAAAAATTCTCAGGTCACATACGACCTATTCCCAATATAGAAAGAACCCATGAAAACACAACCCCTATTCCACCATCATTTTGAAATGAGATCCATAACAACTTACTAAATACTTAATGAAACATACTAAGCAGAGATGCAATGTTTGGATGAAAAATCCTAAGCTAAAAGCCTAGGACTAATAATTACTTGACCAATGATAACGAAACCACCACCCTACGGGGTGGCTAGCGGCCAAATGAAATAATGAGAACCAATCAAAAACAATATACCTTAAAAAAGTGAAGATAAAACCACACAGCTAATAGATAACCTGACCAAAATGACAAAAAACCTTTCAAATGAAACTTCCTCAACAAAGTAACCTCCAAAAACCTTGAACATGTACGAACCAAACCAAACAACCACAAAAAATCAAAACCACCAGAGTTAATAAAAAATACTCATGACTCCAAACTACCAGAACGAAGAAACTTCTTGAAATGAAAAACCAAAGGGAACATGGGAGGGTGGGATCACAAAACAGTACACATAAATTATACTGTTGATGGATAAATAGACAAAATTTGAATGTAATGGGATGAATTGGTAAAGAAGTGAAGACCTATGACATCATCAAAGATGAGTGGTAAAATAGACAGGTAGAAATCCAACCCGTCAGTAACATGTCATATGTAAACCCGTTCTTATTCCTCTCATTCCATTTGGTTAATAACAAGTTACCAACATCAAATCATTTGTACCTAAAACAATTTCCTTTCATGCAATCTTGATCAAGATATGTAATTCCTTATTTGACATCTTTTACCTGAAGTTCTTGACGCCTCATTTGTACATAATCAGACAACAAGGTATGAAATACCACGACAAATACTTAATTCAAGTATCATTCCCGTGAATTTTTAGAATAAAGAAATCTCAACACTGCTATAGTGTTATTCCAATCTGAGCACAACCAAACACAATTTTTAATTAATATCAAGCAACAATCAATTAGATTGTTATTCCAAAAAAGACTTGTAGTCTTATCACATGTAAATAAATTTCTCCTTTGATATAAAGGGGCTATTTAGTGAACGTGGTACTGCCAAAGTAATTTAATGATGATTAAAAACACTCTAACAAAAGTATAAGGTGACGAAAAAAAGGGGGAAAAAGGCCCACAAAACCACCAACAATAGTATATAACACTCCAACCATGGTAAACAATGGTAAACAGCCTCCAAAAACCTCAAAAACCGCCAAAAAATCCAACAAAAATCCTTCAATGTAATCATGTGATGTCATTATTATTATTGTTTGTTGTGATTCAAGCTGTGAATTTGATCAATTGATGTAAAAAAAGGATGAACAGATCTTCTTATGATGATTACAGGTGATTTTGTCCCTATTATTCATAGCTGAAAACCATTTTTGAAATTACAATTTTTTTGGAAAGTTGTTCAATTTTGAATTACTATTGCTCATTTTGTATCCCTTGTGATACTGATCATTTATCACCCCACCATGACCTATTTTTGATGTGTGATGAACAAGTTATTGAGTTGTAGAGATTGATAAAATAAACTTTTGTCATGTAAATGTTGCATTACATGTGTATGCATTACATGTGTATGTAGCTGCCAAATTCGAAATTCACCCCATGTTCTTTGTTTCCTTATACCTTTTTCACTAACATCTGTTACTGATGATTTAAAGATTTTACATTATGAAATGGATAATTTTGTGTTGAATGAACTATCACCCATCCAATTCTGACAAGTTTTGACATATGTAATTAACTGAAAACCTCCATCTTTGATGGAATTTGACCATTTTCACGTCCAATAATGATTTTCTTTCTATCAAAAGATCACCCCACATCATTCCAATCATCAAGATAACTATAAAATCAATTTGGAAAACTCTTGGCCCCATCAATCCTTGAATGGCATCACTATGCAGGAATTAATATCATAGTACCCCTTGTCAAAATACCCCCTTTCTTGAATAACTTCTCACCGCCCTCATCAATCTCCATGATTAGAGTTGTTTATAACTAATTTTATGCTTCTCTTTCATAATAGGAGCTTCCTGAACCAATAAATTTCATAATAATAACCTAAAAACCATTTTCCAACTCTTAATACCCATAGTTTTTAATTTTCCTTCAACTCTGCTAATGTTATCCTTCTTATTTCAGTCTTTTAATAACAGTTTCCCTTCTTAAAGACTCAAGATAAATGTTCTTCTCCATCAATTCTTTCATTGCTAATTCTTTTAATATTATTTTCACCCTTATACTATTTTTATAAACTTTCCAAAGTTTTTCTCTCCTTGTAAATGTTCTTATCAAATGATGTAATGAATATATGATTGAAAATATAATAAAATGTTGATTATAAATCAACTATGAGACCCTTGATGACTAACAAGTTCAATCATAAATTTGACTTTGACCAAAAACACAATTTTCTGGATAGTTGTTGGTATCTCAATATTAATGGATGGGATTGTGAATGTGATTTGGGCCTTCAAGCATGTATGTGTAAACTTTACTGTTGGGTTGAACCTTGATTCATATCCTGCAGATCTGCAGCTATGATTTCATGCTGTTTACCACCCTTTCCAAATCCCATTTGAATTTTAATCCCATATTGTTCACTATCAATTTCTTTCGAATCTCTAGTTATCTCTTTCTCTAGTATCATTTTTGACACCCACCCACCCTTCTGTTCCCTATTCTTAGGTTGCTTTTTTATTCATCTTAAGTTTCTTTAGTTCTCATTTTTCAGTTGTTTAGTTTTTATTTAGGTTATAGCGGGTTTATTTAGTTCATTTTTTTTAAAAAAAGAAGAAGATGGGAGAAGAGAAGAAATCTGGTTTTATTATCTTTTTCAGAGTTATATTTTAGTTGGTTGTGTTTCTTTGTATTTGTATTGGTTGAGGGTTGTTTGTTGTTGTTGTGTTAGTGTGGTTTTTGAGGGCCGCTAGCCACCCCGTAGGGTGTGATCTTATGTTTTATTTTAAGAAATTTTATCTCCCTTGGTGTTTATCCTTGGGATTTGTCCAAACATTGCGCCTGCTTTAATATATTTTATACCAAGTTTTGTGAGTTTGGAAACTTCACATTTCTAATTTTTAATTTTTTTGCTCAAGTAGAAATCCTGCTCACCACATCACACAGTGTCATTTTACTACTCACTCCAATCTCAATCCAATCTCAAATCAATGTCAGGTCAATATCAATCCAATCTCAATGTTTGGCCTAGAGTAGCAGACAAACAACCTTCCAGAATGACCCAAAATAAAGTTTGGATTCATGTCCACACATGAAGGTGTCAGAATGTCTGGAAGGTTTGAATGATTATGCAGCCCATGCATATTGCACACGCAAACAGAATTGGAGGTCAAACTGATATTGACCTGACATTGCATTGAGATTGGATTGAGGTGAATGGAACTCACTGGCCTGCCAGTGACTAGTAAAATGACACTGTGAATGTACTCTAATTTTCTCTTTTGATGAATCCTCCGGATTTGTCCTTCAAATTTGTTGACCGGATCCAAGGGCAATCAGATCCGGTCATCCTCTATTTTATCATGATGTCTCTAACATCGTCATCTTGCATCTTTCTTTATATTTCCTTATTGGTACTTTGCAGAGATAGACGTCTATATAAGACAACCCATCCCTTGTGTGTGGAACGGATCCCCTAGGTATCTTCTCAATACATTCACCAAACCTAATACCTATTGACAATAATACTCCCTGAATTTTTTCGTTTAATTTTAAATATGGTATGTATATATCTTCCAGAAACTGCTTGTCTCACACATCATTTTGAATTTCCCTTTCTTAATTCTTTGTCTAGTCTTTCAGGTTGTCAAACCATCAGGAATGCAAGAACTCAAATTCAAAGATGATTGATTTCATCCTTCTGATCACAATGTAACAAAGAATTTGTAATTATAAAATCAATGGTAAATACTTTGTAGCAAATCATGAGCCAAACAGATCAATCGGAAATGATTGAGAGCGTTCAAATCCTTGATTGATTCACATGGATGAGATGTGATCTCCTTCAAAGGATCAAAAGTGTATAAAAAAGATTGAAATCAATTTCATCCTAAGATCAATCAAATCTATTGACCACAAGTGCAAAGATTGAAATATGACTTGGATGAAAACAGTGATAAAAGCCAACCCCGGGACTGTTTTTAGCTCTTTGAATTTTTAATATGCCAAGTCATCAATCAATCATTATGTGATTCCAATTCTCTATCTCATAGGCATCAATTCTGGGTTCATAATGTCCAAATTTGAGATTACCTGATGCACTGGCAGGCAGACGGTGCATACATTGGAATGGTAAAGGTATGGGTTTATGTGAAGTAAGCAGCCAAATTGAAGCTTTGAGGCGGTTGCAGTTTGGAATTAATAAAGGACACCTGGGGTAATCAGGCGTAGCGTGAGCAAAACGGCAACAAGCCAAAGGAGCTTCAAAGAGCTGCAAAAACATGTAACACACCTGTGCGTAAAGCAACAGGATACGGCAAAAGATGAAGAACGGTGAGAAAAAGTTAGATGTAAGTAAAAATAAAATTCTTTCCGATCATTATCATTATTACTAACCTGGGGTAATCAGGTGTATCGTGAGCAAAACGGCAACAAGCCAAAGGAGCTTCAAAGAGCTGCGAAAACACGTAACACACCTGACACACACATAGATGTTAGTAAAAGATAGAAAAAGAAAATAAACAGAAAAGACAAACCTGTGCGTAAAGCAACAGGATACGGCAAAAGATGAAGAACGGCGAGAAAAAGTTAGATGTAAGTAAAAATAAAATTCTTTCCAATGAGGGAAGAAAGAAACGCGCACATGAGTTCTAGTTATAAGAGATTCAAAGAACACACTACACACAGCTAAATTAAAAAGAGAAAAATCATAGCACAGGTCACATTTGACCTATTCCCAAATAAGAAAGAAACCACCAACTAACTCTGACCGCAACTCAATATGTTCATATATTAATCATCATCTTGCCTAATTTGTCTTGATCTTCTTTGGTGATTTATTAACCGGAAGTCCTTGACACTAACACACTACACAACTATCTAGCTAACTACCATAAGTCAAACGCGGTATAGTAAATACCGCAACAGTTTATACCTACTGAATTGTATGTAGGACAGATTTTTATATTGTGTGCCTCAATAGGCTCTGGGGTCCTCACTGCACAGAGAAGGTAAGATTCAATTCCATGGGCTTACAGTCTTACAAGCAAAGGCTATCATGGGGTTTGGCAGGGTTTGGCAATGTACATACCACCAGTCATTTACTGATTCTGCAGTTCATCAAACTCCACAAAGTCCCTTGCCAAAGGCCCAAGCCCCACAGTTCATGGGCTTTCATGGACTTGAGAGCCATGTGATTGTTGACTTACCAAGATACCAAAGAGACTAAGCCAAACTCTTCTTTCTCTACAAATCCTGCTATCAGAAATGTGCTTACCTAGTATGGGCACCGGTAAAATCCTCAATCATCAAGGTCCACTGTGTATCACATTCTCTGTATGAATCATATCTTGCCCTTCAAGATTCTGATTCACTGCATGTAATTGTCTCAGTCCAGCTTCTTGGTGCATTTGTTAATCTGATGGCAAATGACTGATCCTCTCTAGTATTATTGATAGGGCTAGAGTAGAGGTCCAAGCTCTGCAGTACACCATTCGATCATTGAATTGCCAATGGATGGATAAATGGGTGGATGGATGGAAATTGGCAAGGATCATTGAGTTTGACAGCCTCAACTCTGCCATAAGTTTTGTGGATCAACTAACAAAATGGCTTGCAAGGCACCTGAGAACATAATATGGCAATGTCCACAGCCTTGAGTGCATGGCAATGTTTGGATCATCATAAGTAGATACCTCAGCTCACCAACAAAATAAGACTTTTTGACCTGGGATAAATCAATATAGATAACAAGAATGCCCTCTTACATAGCTCATAATTTCAAGCCCAGCCACCATGCAAACTCTAATCCTCACCATGAACAACATGCAGATATCCCTATAGTTAATACATGTCATACTCCTAAAAACTATTGTCATCAACCAAATCCACATTGAGAATTAACCAAATCCCAACTCTCTCACATTAGTCTTATCCCTCAATGGCTCTGATACTATAAATCTTGGAACTTGTGAGCTCCAACTTTTTCAGATTAGGCCAAAGTTGTTCATTAATTAAACCTTCTAAATTTTGACTGGGGTACCACAAGGATGTCTTCCAAAGCAATTGCCAGAAATTTCCTCATTGTCAACTCATTCCACCAAACAATGTCTCTATGTATTCATGTTTCAAACCCAGTGATGCTACCTTTGACATTGCCCAGAAGTGCAAATTTGGCTAGCAAGCGCAGTGAAAAAGAAAGGTCTTTTATATTGCTCAAGGCTCCTATTCCTCAAATTCCATGGGAATATGTCCTCAAATTCCATGGGAATATGTCCTCAAATTCCATGGGAATATGACAAGAAGGTTTACCTAGTCAAGGCAGTAATTTGGAGGACTCAAGACTCAAGAGTGGACGAAAGTGTTTTGCCAACCATAGAAATGGCCATGTTATCCAATCAACACCCATTCTATGGCATGAGGGGTGTTATACTCACTGGCCCAACAGTAAGTGCCTATCCATGGGTAATCCATCAGATATTTCATGCCACCTCATTTGATAATTGACTTATAGAATTGAATTATTACATCTTGGAATCAAGAAATTATATATCTAATTTGCATACAACACAACTTCTATGATTCCAGAGGCAAGATCATGTCCCCAGCTGAATATACTGTAGGTCTACACCTGTTAAGGAATCTTGAGTCAATCCTGGTTCATGAACAAACCTTGTACTACATCCTAGAAATTGCTTCACTAATTTCAGCCCCTCTTCACAGATTGCTAGGTACACACAATCCCATATACCCCTGAAGACAGGGTGGCTGCCATCCCATTGGCTTTACACCAGTGGATAGAGAAAAATAACCAGACAAAGTTGGCCAACAAGGCCAAAGCATCCACAGAAAAAGACATGATATTCAAATCATTCATCTTTTCTTGAGTGGATTCATTTACAAAAATATCAAAAATATCTCTTACAAACCCAATTCCTTCCAATTTGTGTCATTTGATTTTCTCTCTCAAAATCATTCAATTTGACAATTTTGGCATAAATTGGTCTGTTCCTTTGATTATTTATCTGCAGATTGTTTTTATGAAGCATTTAAATATTCTCTGTTGTGATTCTTTGTTGTTCTTATGTTTGTCATGGAGATATTTAAGATGAATCAAAGATATGTTTCTATAACATAAATGACTGATGAACCAACACCAAATTTGCAACAAAAGAAACCAAAAAATTATCAATTTTTAAAAATTCAGAAGGAAGGGAGAGGGAGGTTTAAAAGAGAAACCACATAACACACTAAGAATAAAAAACCTACCCTGTTACACATCAGAATGTGGTAAGATCATTATAACAGTCTCCTATACCTCATCACAATCTTAGCATTAGTTAATTGTTTCCATCCAAGCCCAATCTGTCCAAGTTAACCAAGTACCCACAGACTCAATGGTTTTGAAACAATACCCAATAATAACATTTGTCAACCCAAGTCGCCTTGGTTAAAATACTGCCAAAACCCCCAAAGATTGTCTAGTATGGGTGGTTTACACACTGACTTTGGAGATTGTGTCAGACGTAGCAATACTGCTGGTGTGAGTGCTTGACATAGAATTAGAAACAGCAGAAGCTGTAGATGAATGGAGGACCTGAGTTGATAATTGGGTGGTTGAGGTGCAGGGAATGTTGAATTGATCAAACAATTAATATAAAGCTAAATGAAGATTTGAAATATAAAGCCACAAACAGATTTGAATCGAATAAAGTGAAGCCATTCTGCCAACTTTGTTGATCCTTGTGCAGTAGAGAAAGGGTCAGGAGACCTGCCAAAATGTGCAGCCAAGGCGCCAGGGCTTTGTCACTATCATCATGTTATGTCAGCTTGGCACTTAGAATTGGTGACTTCTAAGGTCTAAACTGAATGAATTTGACGCAATAGGTAGACTTTGTTTACTTACAGGGCTTTGTGGTGAAAGCTGTTTCACTATAAATTCGAGCCGTTGGAAACTTTTAAGTTTAGCAGAAGAAATAAGGTTGATTAGTTACTTACGTAATCTATCAACAAAGGAATACAAGTAAGTTGACAACTTACTTCTTGGACAACTCTTCTTAGAGTTTTGTGAATCCGAGGTTTACTATCTAATGATCCTGATCAAGTAGATGTCTTCCAAAGAGTCTTAGGTGATAAGATCTCGATAGGTAAGCAACCGTTAGCTCGTGCTAAGATGCGGGGTAGTTGGTTGGTGGTGACAAACACTATCTAACAGTAAATTTTCTAAGAGCTAGTTTTGGTAAACGTAGGCTAATAAAGAAGATAAAGCGAGATAGTTTTAAGCGAATTCTTTCTAAAAGTAAAAAGGTTTCTATCAAAGTAATTGATAAAAAAGCTGTAAAGTTTTTAGAAAAAAGGTATTGTGTTTATAAGATGGGGCTCTTTTCTTGTTAATGGACAAGTAACTGTTAGTTATATACTCTATTCCGTTGTACCTATCTTATCGTGGCAAAAGGTTGTCCCTAGAATAGTAATTAAATTCTAGGGTCCTTTTGCTGGTTTGGTTTAATGTAGTTTCAGTTACTGTCGCAATTGTGTATGGCTCAGTTTATAATCGACTGGGCTGGTTACCGTATAGTTGTTCCTGGTTGGTCAGGGTTAGAATAAAGCTTATGGTTAGTCAGGGTTCAAATGTTACTTGGTCCAATTTGTCATTCATTTTATGTTCAGTTTCAATCATTGTCACTCTTGAAACTCGAGTGTGAGATGTAGTAGCAATAATAGTTTTAATTGTGTGTTTACAAAGTTGTACTAATATTTGTAGGTCCGTTGTTGTAACCAGTTGGAAGTTAATCGCAGAGTAACTTCTCATGGTTGACATGTTAGGTGTCAGTTTCTTGGTGCACATACTGTCTAACCTGCTGATAGTGTTGGGCAGAGGTGTCCGGGTGGGGTTGGGGTTGGGTGGCAACCCTACTTCCAGCCCACCCCGTCCAACATACCTGTAAACCCATTTGGTTTTGGATCCTAATTCAAACACACAATGAACAGGTGTCATTATGAGGTGGGAATGGTTTCTATATTTGTCCCACCATCAAAATGTATTGTACGCTTTCTGTGAGGCAAGACTACATATGGAGAATCTGGAGTGTTCACACTACACCAAATCAATAATATACCATGGAGTTTAGAAAAGTCAAGATGTAGAAAATTCTCAGCAATGCATGAGAGGTAGGAAAAATTTGAAAAAATATGGTTAAATCACTCTGTGAGTTCCCATCATTTTGCATATTTTTTCATATTTTTACCTTGAGTTTTGAAGATGTTACATAGAAAAATGATTTTGCGGTGTATTTGGTCAGAAACTCAAATTTTGTCCAAAACTACCCAGGCTTGGGCAGAAACTTTTCAACAATCACAAATACAACAATTTTCTTTCAATTAGACCGGCTGTTGCACATTATGAAAGCCACTTACTGGATCTACAGTTTCCATTTGGATGCTAAAACCCTTGCAGAACAGATTTATAAGCTTTTCTAGCTTTGCTGTTGGGGACAGTGATTGCTGTACCTTTGTCATTTTTGGACACACACTACTCATTCTGATGTGTATCTGGTAAATTAAACACACAGCTTTCAGAATGGGTAGACATTCCAGATGTTGACACAAAATTGACAATTTTATTGGTCTCACAAGGTGAATGCCTCCATGACTGCCAGTTTTGGACATAAACTGAGTTTCTGACCTGATATACACTGCTGCCGTAAAAATATTTAAAAATATGCAAAATGATGGGCACACACAGGGGAATGCAACCCTTATTTTTCCATATTTCTTTGACCCCTTCTGCCTTGTGTACAATTTTCTATGTCTTTTTGATTTTCTAAACTCAGTGGTAAATTTGCAATCTGGCGTAGTGTCACTGCCAATGGATAACTACACATCAAAGAAGGCCATATATACAAGAGGCAGCACTGCTGGCTTCAAATATCTTTTTATTTTTAGATATGTTGGCTTCAAATATCTTTTTATTCTTAGATATGTAGGCTTCAATTATCTTTTTATTCTTAGATATTGAGATATACCATTGCATTGTCCTGATATGTTGGGGGGGGAAGATGGACAAGAGATAAAATAATTGCAGTGTTGAGTGCATAAAAACTCATTTTTCCCATTGAGTTTCCAGAAACAGATTTCAATCAAAGATAATCACAGATCTTTAGTCCTACCATGAGGGTTGGCCAAACCTTAATCAGATTCTGCAACTTTTGTGTTTCAATCTTGTCATGATAATTTGATGATCTGTTGTCTGTAAATTTGAGTTTCAAACCAGCCAGAGTCTGATCTGACCTGATCTGACATTAAAAACACAGACCAAAGCCTGGATCATGAGATTCTATCAGGACCTCATAGAACCTCCACGTGTGATGAATTAGGTTGTGAAACCATGCAAAGCAAAGCAAAGCAGATTGGGACACCAGAGAAGTCTGTCAGGTGGTTCAACTTTGAAAAAGCACTATGGCATAACTGAGCCTACAGTAAGATTTTCCTTATGACTTTTCAAATGTTAAACAAGCTTGGTGAAAGCCCCACCTGAGGCGCACACAGACAGCAAAACCAAAGTTGAAATTCTTGAAATTTACAGCGTGTGGACGCCAAAGGAAATTCTAGGATATATTTGCAAACTTCAACCCCCCTGCGCTAGGTTATGTCTTGGGTCTGATCAGGCCCCTGGAGAGCGCCGAGGGAACCTACCGATGAAACGAGGTTTTTGGATACCAAGATCCTGTGAAACCACATCACCCATTCCCTTACATGTGACATGCTCAAAAGATGTGCAAAGACACAGGCTATCTGCTCGTGTACATCTGGAAGCCACAGCGTGTCTGGTCGCCGCACAAAAGTGCAATTAAGGTTTTTTTGCCCCGAGGCTTGAGAATAATTCATACCTGGTCGGACTTTGTGTTACAACCGGATATCTCAGTAATTACATGTGGTACACTGGTGAAAGTATATGTAATCAATAGCAAACGTTATGAACAATCTCCCGTGACATGGCAAGCTGTCCCAAGTTGCCCTCACTCACGGGAAATTTACAAAACTTGTGGCCGGGGCCGGTATGATCCGTTCATTGGTAGGTTCCCTTGCCGCTTTCCAGGGGCCTGTATGATCCCAGAGTCTTGGTCAGGGTTGTCACTCAGGTGGTGGGCGCGGCACGTTTGGCGCGTCACAAGGCGCGCCGGGCGCATGAAACATTTCTCAAAACAGGGGGTGGCGCGCCCATACGCAAGATTTGGATAATCTGAAGCATAGGAGGTCTTCTTGGGCCTAATCTTGGGCTAGAGGAAGCCTATGAAATTGTAATTCTGGTCCGTTTGACTTTCAAGGCGGAGAAAGCCCTACAGATGAGCTCATCTGAGTCCGGAGACGCTTAAACTATTTCTTGAACAAAAACTTTCAGTGATTCTTATCTTGAAAGTGTGGTCATACTGACTTGAAACAGATTTTCTCACATCCCCATTTGTGTTTGAGCTTCATCACAGCCTTGATTGCTGTTTCTGTGAAGATTTTTTCCTGTTTTTGATGGTTTTTTGCTTCAAAGGCGCGCCCACACGCCCCCTGCTATTTGGGCGCGTCCCAGACAATGGATTCTGCGCCTGGGCGCGCCCCTGTCTGCCAAATCCGCGCCCACCACCTGAGTTGTCACCCTCATGCTGGAGTGTGGTTGATACTTCCGGCATGTGAAAAGAAGTCATCTTGCTCCAATATCAAACCCTCTTTTTTGCCATAGTTTGTCTTTGCAGGATTGACTTTGACCACAGTGAGTTGGACCTCTCCTCTTTGAGGACCGGCGGTTATTCGATGGGGTGTCCTTTTCTTGCTCTATCAATTAAAGTGCCCTGCCAGGTAGGGTGGGCCTGAGGCTGCTTACTTGACCTCAACCCCATCGCCTGCTGGAAGTTTTGCCTATCTGCTGGCAATACATACTTGCAGAAACAATTGACATGGAAATTTGTATGATCGTATTGATTTTCATAATCTTACAAATGCCCCAAACTTCAAAGGCAACAAAGTCCCAGACTTGAGAGGTCCCACGGCCTCCCACGGCTCGGGGCGGCCACCAAGCGTGCGACTGTGTCGGTGAGACGTCGGAGCTCGTCAGAGGCCATCGGGGTTGAAATAGTCAAGTTTTACTTTAGGATTTTTTCTGTCGATCCATAAGGTTAAGAAATTGTATCGCTGCTTTTGGGGGCTACTAAAAAGTGCCCGCAAATAAAACCTGAGACCGCCTGCTTTTAGAATCCGGTGTTTACTAAAAATATTTGACTGAACTGTGGTTCAGTCCCGAGGTAATAATTTGTAAGAAATCAAACGGAAAGCGGGCAGTCTTGAAAATTATCAAAAACCCTTCAAGACCTCCTGCTCCGGCTCCCGCTACCCACATCTCACAACCAGGATAGCAAGTTGTTGTGTTTCTTCTTGTTTTCTAACCAAGCTCTATACCATAATTATAAACCTCTGGCTGATGGGCTGGTGTTGAGATAAGCGATCTTGAGTACACGAGTACA